GGGAGAGAGACAGGGGTATCCTGCAGTCTACACCCACCCATGACTAACTGCCCTGGTCCTACTTATCCTACCAGCCCCCACCAAAATATGTCAGTTATGTAAAACCATGATGAGGTAGGGTCCCGGGGGGGCTAAACATTGTCATCATACATTAAACAGCACCCCAGGTCTGACTAAACACCAGCTCATTAATAAACAATGAAGAGGTTAAAAATAGCTTTCTTACCCCCACGCAAGAACTTATGGGAGATTCTCCAAGTGAGGGGGGTTTGTGATGGGCCTAGATGGTAAGAAAAGTACTGTTAAATGGCCAAAGGAGAGATAGAGAGAAAAGACATTTTTAAGAGGAAAAGAAAACTCAATTACACATACTTTTTAGAAGCAAAAGAAAAATTCTCTTCTGTCAGCTGGACAAAAGGTTTGGAGCAAAGACGTTGCCGCTCATCCGCTCATCTTGGCAGCTTTTTCAGTTTTGGTCAGATTGCCTGGAAAAGGGATGAGCTAACTAACTGTGAAACTACACACTTCCTCGACGACTGAGGGATTACACGGACAGAGTTTTTTAATAAATAGACGTCTGTGTGAAGAAGTGTCTTGCCCAGTGAGTGGAGTGACCTAAAGTGAACTATCAACTCTTACAACTGTTGTTTATCTTTAACCCACTTCCCCACTGAAAAACATGTGGTGGACGTGCTTCTTGCCTTGGAGAGGTTACTGATTTGCCCAGGATGCTCCACAATATGACATTAAACTTAGCTATTGTCACAGATAGAAGAAGGTGACAAAACAGGCGAAGTTACAGGTCAAATCTGTGAAGAGTTAGACCTGCTCAATGTTTTTGTTGCAGTACTAGGTGATAAAAGTGGTGGTGTACACTCTAACCAGAAAAGTTACACTGTGCACCTGTACAGACTATAAAGAAACCAAATATATGAATCAACGCCTCAGAGCACAACATTTACTTTGACATCTCCAACAGTCACTCAAATACAAAACACTACCTCATAATGTGCACCTGAGTCTATCTGAAAGGGGTTTAAACAAATTTAAAACAAAAAAGGAAATAAAAAAATACAAATAAATCATAGCAAAGACAGATTATATGGATTAAGCCTTAAACTATACTGAATCACTTTTAAAAACTGACTGTGCTAAAACTACAAGTTACCTTTTGTCTAATCTCAGCTTCAGTAATTTGAAGTACAAGTAACAAACTACAAACTATTCAAATTCTCTGACTATAGGCACTTCTTTAGGTGGGTTCAGCACCATGGAGAGCGCCCCTATGTTGCCTCCTACATTGTTCAATATTGAAGTCTTTATGCTCTGGTTTATGCGTGCATATATAAGTCCATATTTGTGGCGTGTGGCTTGTGTGTTGACAGCTCTCCAGGTGTCCTCTCAGTGTGAGGCCCTCGGTAAACAGGAGCTGAGCGGTAAACAGAAAAGACTGAAGCTAATGATGTCAAAACCATGTCTAACGTGCGCCAGTCAACCACTCCCAATTCAACTGTCAACTTTTGCACGATTTCATCTTAACTCCTTTCACTCAAGTTACAGAGAAAAACAAATATGCGATCCAAAATTAAAAGGGGGCATTCATGGAGGTACATTCATTACAGAAGATTTTCAATTCTGCTTCAGTCCTGTTCACATGTGATTTTGTATACTGGAGCACTGATTAATACAGGTCTCTACTGAAACCAACCTTTTAATGCACTTTATATCAAATAAGTTACACAATTATAATTTATCTTTCGTCAACTAGCTGTGAAACTCAACTACAGGAAATATACAACTACATAACCGTAAAGTGTATTGTTGGGGCACTTGAGAGCTATTGTGTAATTTACGCAATGTTATTCACTATGTAATAAAATATTTTCATTTGTGTTTAATTTGTGTGTATAACTTACAGCAATTACCTCATCATTATGACTGATATGGGAATGTGCATGTATTTTCAAAACCTTCAGGAGGGTCAATTTTCTTCAAGAAAGCAAATTTAGTAACTACATTTCCAAAAAAATGCTGTTACACCTTTTCATCCACCTCACGACACCGGTGAGGACAAGCCACTATTTCTCCATCCATGTCTGTGTCGGATTTAAGCTGAAGAACTATTTTTTACTCTTTCTCCAAAGGGCAGGCAGATTTCAGAAAGAAAGAAAGATGAGCGGAGTGAGAAGCCCCAAGGAGTGATCGAGGAGATGGGCTCCAAGAAGTGCATGAACAGACTTCACTGTAACCTTCGCTCGCTGCCAAAAAAGGAGGAAATATTTTTATAAACTGGAAAACATAGAAAGGAGGTGGCCAGAAATCAAAAGACAAAGAACGTGGACCCAAGTTTTTAAATGGTTTGTGCACTGCGGGTATTTGATGAAGGATAGCCAGTGTCAGATCAGTGCCTGGGTGAGGGTCTTTGGAACTGTAAATTCTGTTAGCACAACGTTGATGAATATATAGGTACTATATGTATGTTTGTCTGCAAACTATAAACCCACACATTTTCAGATGTACACAAAAAAATAGTGCTTTCTCAAATGATAGCTTAGTTTTTTATATTGAATTATCTGAAGTATACTTGATTTCAAATTAATTTTATAACTGACCCTAAACTGTCTAAATGGACTAATGAAATGAACTAAAATAGGCAGAAAACTGTAATAGCATTTGTCATCTAGCTGATTTCCACTTGCCATGTTTAATAATAAATCTTAACCAAAGAACAGTTCTTGACTGCCAACCAAAATTGTGTGTGGGAATGTGCTTATCTCAGATACAAGGAGGAGAAGGTCTGGAGCAGCCGTGGACCCCTGGAGGCTGTGAAGGTCAAAGCTCCACCTCTGGTCAGTGGCCAGCTGTCTGTCTGCCCAACGCGCTGGAGCTGGCACCAGAGACGCAGGTGAGGAGCTTCAGTCTTAAATTCAAGCACTCCGATTTCTGAAACAAAACCAAAACAAGCAAAAGTTTATTTGGAATTGCGCACAAAACGGGAGTATGAGGAGCAAATGGGAGGAACAAAAGTTGTCAGGAGTAGCAAAGATGGCAGCAGCGGGTGTGGGGGCGCAGAGGTGGGTGATCGGAGGGGGAGCCAATCGTCCCTCTCACTTGACCCTTCCAATTACCACGGCGACGGTTAATTAGCGCCGAGGTAAGCTCGGGCAATTACCGCATTGTGTCTCGGACAAGAGGATGCGAACGCACGGGGCATCTCATCCACACGCACATGAAAAATGTTGCTATGGATACCTGCGATCCTTTCCATCAATGTAGTGAAAAATGAAGATAGAAATAGATGAAAAAGGAGAGAGGAGGGTGAAAACAGCGCGAACATTGACAAGATACGGCGGAAAACGGAAAGGCAAACAAAGATTTACCACGTTTAATTCAAAGTACGTGCGTGTTTTACGCGGATACATGCCCATAGACGCACTTTAGCAGCGCCCTTGTGCAGTCTAAAAAACTTGAGAGGAAAGATGCCCATTTGACATCAAGATTAAAATGAAATACACCAGATTTATTTATATTAAAAAAGACAATGCTTGATGTAGCCAACAGAATAAATATAGCCTGATTACGCACCAGTATAACCGTGCGTTTTTGCACATGAAAAAGTGTACACAGCAGTTCAAACTTGCACCTGCCGAGGACCTGCACATAGGCGATGACACTCTGACCCGGATACTTGCCCTGCCAACACCTCCGGACCGTCACTAATGGCGCATGTCCCACAACACACGTGCGCGCACAAACGTCTCCCTCGTTTCATGACATGTTACATAAGCTATCGCACGCGATCTTTCACACAGGTAGGGCGCAGTTGGACTTGTACTGTTCACCTCAGTAGTCAAGTAGCTAAGAACCTTTTTGACATTGAGATATTATTGGTCCAAATTGTGTTCAGACTGTTTTTCACGTGTGCGTAAAAAACATTAAAAGTAAGCGTTTCTGTAATAAGGTTATTTGGTGATTTGGTCTTACAAACCACAAACCTGTCGGTGCGGAGTTCAAACGAGATCTCGGGTCTTCTAAGAATATGGTACAGAGCGTGACTGCCATCTACAGGTTAATATGAGTTTCCTCGTACACATTTCATCACCAAACTGCACGATGGTAAGACTGGATCACGTTCATGACACAAGTAGATAGCGCCATCGTGTGGTAGAAGCGCTACATTTAAAAAAAGCGCACTTCTGACAGACTAAAAATAAGATTTGGTCGGATCTGGTCCAAAGTGGCAAGCCAAGAGCTTCTGGAAAAAAAAAAAAATCCATGGTAGGCTCATCTTTATTTTCCAGTTCACGTTTATATAAAACACGCCTACCTTTACTTCCTGTCAAAGTGAACAGTGAAGGCTCTCTGTCATCCTGTAGTGAATGTGCAATACTGTAACAACCCGTATCACCACTGAAGTCACTTTACCTGCTATATATTACTGCATTTAATCATAGTAATAGCCACTTATTGCATATGATAGTGTTTGGCATTTAAATTTTTGTTTATTTTTATATTTTGTATTTAATTAATTTTTTTTTTTTTGAGAGAGCATATTTCTATTCGCTTGTCGTTCTTGAACACTTGGAATTCATTGTGGGACAAATAAAGGTTATCTTCTCTAATGCTGAGTTGAAGTTGATGTGACTTTGGTAAACCTAAATATTAAAATAGCCTATGTTCCTTTTTTTTTTTTTTTTACATTTAAACCACAAACGCCTTTCTTTGTTCGCTTATTTAAAGGTGTACTATGTAACTTTTCTGTTATGGGGACCAACATCTGTTTGCCACCTTTGAAATGTTATTGCTTTGCCTGGAAAGTTCAGTTCTTGATTCTTGATTCAGGTCTTCAGAAATTGAGGATATGAGGAGAAGCAAAGACATCATCAAGGAGACAAGCAAGGTGTAGAGAGTCAGCAGAAAAGTTGCATAGTGCTCCTTTGAAACTAATTATAAAGTAATAATAATGTATAATGTGTAATCTTTTAAGGGCAAGGCAAACATTTTAGACTGGCCATTCTTCTTTATTAGTAGTTTTAATACTGTCACATGTCTTTAATATCATTGTCCCAGCACACATATGAGCAAGATGGAAGATTTGTTAAGTTTGCACAAACAATATTTAAATTTAAATTATGCAAAAACTGAAAAACAAAAAGAAAGCACATATTAATATTGAAACTCTTTTGAAGATAAAAAAGTAAAAACATTTGGCAAGACAACACTTAAGTGTGCTAGTTTTGTTTAGTGCAAATGATTAAAACAATTAGACTAGATCTGAGCCTTTGGTGGTCCTCCTGTGATCAGTCATAGTAAACATCAAGTCCCTGTTTTGAGGTTAAAATGTCTAAGGAGCCAAAAAGTCCAATGAAATCTGACCTGTGAAATATAATACTTATTAAAAACCAAGAAAAGTATGCAACTAATTACAAAACTAAACAATTTAAGCCTAAAAGTTGTATAAGGCAAGCAAGCTTGTATTTTTGTATGTACAGTCTATATTTACATCATATTCACATTACAGAGCCAACAGTTGAGATGTGGTTTGTCGCCCCCTAGTGGTTCGGGCCATTATGATCTGCAGACAACAAAGCCCCATGCACAATGTATGTTGGCTGAAGCTTTTACGTTCTCCCATCAAATTTATATTGCTTTAAAACCCATGTAAGTGGGTACAGCTGTGTCATTGGACTACTCAGAAAAAAAAATTTAAATATTAAACCAAACACATCATCTGATAAAACTGCTAAGTCATGTATAACTATAGTACACCTTGAACTACCAATCCAAGCACAACTCATTATAGTAACGATCAATACTGACTATTCCTACCAAATAAAGTTACATGTGGGCAACCTAAGAGTGTTGTCTAGGTGAAGGATAACAAAACCAACACAAAAACAAGCACTCTTCACAAATATCTGATACTTAAATTAAATTATATAATAAAAAAAATCCTAACTTATCAGTCATAACAAAGACAAACTGATTTCTAAAATGAGCTAGTAGTGTGACAGGTAGAGTGAGCTTTCAAGTTGATTGTGAATTTTGTGATGTAGCGTGAATTGCAATTTTGAGAAATTTTGAGCATTTTAAACTGGCCAGCAGACAGAAGCAACCATATGTACAGTAACAAAATAAGTGATACGCTATTGACCAATAAGGCATCACCTGGAAAGTCTATAAGCGCCTTAAGACAAAAGTAGCCAAAATATTCTTTGGGTTAAAAAATAAGTTAAAATGAACATTAATGGAGCTTGGAGCAGTTGGTAAAAATCTGTCAAATGATAATAGCATTAGTTTTGGTGAAGTACAGATGATCCCGTGTGAGGTGACTGAGGAGGCCAAACCCTGGGAGAGGCCTGAAGGCTGAGGGCTCGGAGAGCGCAGGCATCATGGCGTCTCTGCAGCCGCAGACTTCTTCTTTGCTGTAGTTTTCTTCACCGTCTTTGTTTGAGTCTGACACAGAAAATACGTACATTGTATTTAGCGTGGTATGTTATGCTATGATTTTTGTGCCTGCTCTGTTCTTATAAAGCTGTGTAAATTCATAATTTGAGGGTTTTGATTAAGACAGTGCATACAAATGAGCGTTCAGCAAACAGGAATACCGAAGATCATGAATGTAGCAAATACTATTTCAGGTATGTTTTTGATAAATGTTTCACATGGTTAAATAATCAAGTCAATTGTGCATGATATGTCATTAAATCATTAGATCACTAGATGTCAATATAAACTATCCAGAGTTGAGCCTGGAAACAGTGAAAACAAAAACACGACTTACCTCAGTCTTTGCAGCTGTGGGTTTCTTGGTGGTCTTGACAGCAGTGTTGCTTCTCTTTGTGGTCCTTTCTCCCAAGTCATCATCAGAGTGTTCAGTTCTAGTGTCAGACATGTCTGAGCTGTGCTGGGACGAAGCATCATCATTTAGGGACCCCAGAGAGCGGGCTGCAAGAGTCAACACACCACACTGTAAATATTTACATCTTAGTAGACTGGTAGGTTTAGGCTCTATAAACCAAAATTATATTATGTAGAAGAAAGTAGGTTCTCAGTGCCTTAACTCCACAATTCCTCTGACTAAATAGAAGTCCAAACACCACCTCACACATTTATGGGAATCAATCAAGAACTTGAGGCTTTAAATCAGGTAAGTCCTAGAAAATGGAATCCATTTATGGACATTACAGAGGCATCAGTGGATGCATTTTATATAGCACTTTAAGAGTAATTACACAGACTATGTAAATTCAAATTTTGAGGCCAACATGAAAGTAAATGGAATCAGAATTAATAATAGTTGTTCAGGTGGGAGTCATAGAAAAGAAAGTTAAGTCAAAAGGACAACATTTTATAATTGCTTACTAAAAATATGATCTTACACTTAATCTACACAATTTGTCTAAATAATATCCTTGGGATTAATTTAGAAAAGGTGTGTTATGGCCCCAGGCCTCCAGTTCTGACTTGGTTTGTGTGTTTTAATTTCTTCTGCTGTCCCTCCTGATTCCTGCTGTGACAGCCTTGGTCCCTGATAGGTGGGGCACTTCTACACCAGGCCCATCCTGCCTCACCTGCAGCCGCCTGCCCTTACTGGAGATGATTGCCAACATCTGTTCGGGGCTGCTGCCCTTTGTGGTTAGTCTGCAATTTGTATCTGTGTCTCTTTTGTGTCAGTCACACACACACACACACACACACAAAGTGTGTGTTAGTTTAGTTCTGTTTTGTGGCTTTTTAGTTGTCAACTGATTCTTTTTGTGGGTTTATGTGACTTTTGTTTTTAGTTTAGGTTGTTTTATGTACTAATTTTATTTATTATTATTGTTAACTTACACTTTTACAGTCTTGTTTATTACTTTATTTATGTAATTTTTCCATCTTGGTTTTTGTTACCTTCCTGACCCTAGCCGACCCTAGCTGGGTTGTACCATGGTGTTTATAAAAAAAAAAAAAAGAAAAGAAAAAGGAACTGCTAGATTTCATTATTGCTATAGTTAAGCCACAACTTATTGATGCACTGCACTCTAGGTATTGTGCTCTGAAAAGGCCTCTCCTCCCACTGAGGTCACATGCTCCCTCCTCCCTCTGCTCAGACATCTTGACATAGCCCCACTGTCCAGCGACATTTTAAATCACATGAATCCACTCTATATGTCCTTATGTAAATGATTTTGTTCTGGCTCATTAGGTGCCACGTGTGGGGGCATGTGTGGTCTTACTCTGGCGTGCAGAGGCACTCCGGGCCCGGGGCAGCGTGCTCGCTCCTGAGCCCATATCGTCCACTGTGTCCCGTCTGGAGCGCCCCCTCTCTGATGGGTGCAGGGCCAGGTCCTCCTCTGTTTGGATCAGGGTCAGGTCCTGCATGCTGAAACTGCGCAGCTTGTCTGACAGCACACCCTGCCCCTGAACACAACATATTACACAAACTTTTTTGCAAGGGAAATTACTCTGACACATCAGTTCATAAATACCATACAATATAATAACAAAGACATAATAATAAAGTAGCAAAGGTACCTGTACATTAGGTACAATATCTAGGCTATGAACCAGCAGTGGGATAATGAGTTTGAGTGAAAATGTATCTTTGACATGACATAAGGTTATTCATTACATGAGGGTGAGTTGTAGTGCAGTTGTATGGAGTATAGTATGAATGTACTCCTGTATCTCTCACCGTGAAGGTGGAGCTGTTAGAGAATGAGCTCTGTACTCTGTAGTCGAGTGCAGTGGGGGAGCAGGAGTGCCCATGAATGAGAGAAGTTTGTCCAGTGGCCTTCTGTCTCTCACCATGACAAAGTCACAGGTGCTTACAGATCTGTTTATGGATCAAAATGTTGATCTGACCATTTGAATGACTCTGAAGGCCAGTTGGGTCAGTTCATGGATCATGTGTAAATATACATTTTTTAATTCATTTGATGAGGTTTCCCAAATTGAGGGACTTTTTTCTTATTGCACTTCATGTGCAAAGTACTGCATGCTATATAACAGGACTGACATGGAGGCAGACATGCACCACTAACAAAAGACACACAGAGCCACAAAGAAATCTGACTCACCTAACGGACAACCTGCTTTCTGGGAGACATGAGTATTTCATCAAGAAATAATGAACCATTTAAATTACCAGTATGTGACAATGTCAGTGACGTCATAGCTGCCCAGTGCTTGTCAGATGCAAAACGTGTTCTTAATATGGACCACTGATTAGTCTATATTAAACTGTAAAAAAGGATTTTTTGTTTATTTTTTTTTTTTGTTTAATGATGTTAGAAAACAGCTCTTACATCAGGCAATGCTAAACAGATGTTTATCAGCGTTATTTTCTTCACTTGACAGTAAACCTGTGTTTGTGCACGTGCTGCACCAGTTGAAACAGTCTTACATAAGCCCATTAAAACTGGCCTAGAGGAATGTGTGTCACGTTTGCAGCTGCTAAAAAGGCCTGGGGTAAATACAGACGAATCACACTCACCTTAGCGGCGGCTGTGACTGCAGCATTAGCGGCTAGATTCAGCCCTCTCTTCCCAAACCTCATCATAGTCTCATAACTCCTGTCTTTGGCCTGTGCGATGTAGTCATCAATCTCCTACAGCGCCACATAAGAACACAGACATGAAGTGCTTAAAACAACAGCCCTGTAATACACTTTTAAGAGCTCTTCATGAATACAAAGGACATGAGGTTTGTACCTTCTCTTTGTTAGACAGAGTTGGATGGACAAACTTGCGATAAAGGACACTTGAGCCTTTAGTGTATGGCGAAAGGAGCCAGATTACAAATGCAATCTTCAGTTCAAAATAAAAAGGAAACCTAGGAAACCAAAGTCACAAAACAGATAAACTGGGGGGGGGTCATTGAGGGTCACAATAATATGTTTTTTTGTTTTTTTTTTAATGGGAATACAAAAATACATGTTAAGATTAAGTCGAGTCATGTCAGAAATTTAGTCTCTGGACTTTACTTTTGCATTTTTAGATGGCATTCTACCTCTGGCCTCAAACTCTGATCAAGCTGAAAGATCTCTTCTGCACTTTCTGTCACACGTCAAGAGAACCAGAGAATTACAGACCAAAGATGCTAAAAATACAATTCACAGGACTGCTCACACTGATATTACATAAGCTATTCTTTATTAACAGTTGGTTAAACAAAGGACTATGATCGTCACACTTACCATGATAGAAGCATGTCTGTGAGGGTCTCTGCAGTGGTGAACAATGCAAACACAATCCAGTACATCATCCATTTCACCTAAAGACAGAAACACAGAGGTGAGGAGGGAAACAATGCTCCTAAATCACATTTAGGACTCCGAGCGCCTACAGCACGTGCCACAACTGAAGCACATGTGCCCGACCTCTGTGCCAACACTGAACATAACATATGCTACAGTCAGATGACATCAGTCAGAGCCTGAGCACTATCAATACAGACAGTTCAAATGCTACTTGAACATTGGCATAAGATCCTTTAAGATCTCTATCAAACAATCTATCTAACTATATAGAGAGAGATATAGATATATAGATATATATAAAGTTTAAAGTTTAAAGTACTTGATGTTTAGATCTGAATTCCTAGATAATCCCCTCTTATTCCACAAATTATTTCCTTTCATGATACATTCCAGGAACACTTTAGATTGAGCCTTTTCTTTTAATAAATGGAAAGATAAAATTTGCATTAATTAATTTGTTGTGTATTAAAAAGGAAGCACATCTGAAGCACTAAAATGTGACAAAAATGCAAAACAACTCAAGAAATCCAGCAATATATGTACAGCCATTTTTGCTTGTTACACCTTATGAATTCATGTTAGCCTTTAAAGCCAAAATGAGGTAAACATTGAGTCTAAAAATGGCGCACTCTCTCCTTCGTCTGCTTGAGTAGCTTTTGAGAGCAGGGCGTTGCTATAGAAACGTGCCAGGAGAGGAGTCTGTGGGCCAGCACTCATCCCCTTTTCCTATTGGCCGATCCTTCCCCCTTAACTAATGATGTAAGAAAACAAGACAATGTGCATGTTAAGTGGTTTTCATTAAAGCCTTTATGTGGAGAGACCCAACGCTTATTTTAATTAGACTTTTGCTTTAAGACAATGACTTCGCTCTTACAGATGGTGCCAACAATATACTGACATTGTCTGCTGACTCATGCACTCTCCTTTGTCATATTTTCGATATTAAATCACCACAAAAGAAAGCAGTAATTTTAAAATATTTTTTAGAATAAATAATTAAGGCCTAGTTGTTTTCAGACACAATAAGCAGGGATGAACTCTCTATAGCAATGTATCAATCTGTCAATATATTGCATGGATTTTCTAAAAAGGATACAAGTTTGATCCCCACTGCCTATCATAAGTGTTGTGTCCCTGGGCAAAACACTTCACCCTTTTCATCTACAGTGTCTACAGTGTGTTTGCTGTGAAAATAACCAAGCATTATTATTTAAGTAAGAGATCACACTCACATATTCCTTCACATTCTTCGTTTTCACAGCTTTATAGGACGCATACGCTGGGTACAGTGTCCCAAAGGCGAGGCTGAAAAAAACAGAACAGGAGATTATTACCTATATACAGAAAAGGCCTGTGGGGCTGTGACAGTTACACTTGTGCAAATGTTCTTCTGGTAAAGCAGGTTAAACATACATGTTTGCTTATAAAAGGTGGTTTCGTGAAAAAAATCTACTTGTGACTTTTCTCACAAGTGTAACAATAAGAACTAATGTATTTCAATCTAGATTCAGTTCACAAAGCACATGGTCTAGAAGCACAATACTTGAATACTGCTGAAGTGTGAACTGATACATTAATACAAGAATTAAAACACATTTAAAAACATAGTAAGTCTAAACTGGACAAGCTGGTTTTGTACACATTTAGTTTCAGTTTTTGTGGGATTTGGGGTAGGGTTGAGAATTTGGTGTTTTGATGGTTGTGTGAACACTTGTTATCGTTCTGATAGTAGAGACCAGGAAAGCTGCAGTTCATATAAAATGGAAAGATGACACAAACAGCACACCTTTGGGAGCGGTCTTCCATGTGGTGCCCTGTGTACTGATGGGACAGTGCTGCTCTTTTTTTGTGTTTTCAGTCGTATACGGTGCCACTCAGTGATTTGTGCTGATGTGACAGGACAGGGACTGCTGACAGCGGGCAGCACAACCCCTCTGATGATTAACCCAGTGTCACTCACAGCAGAGATTTAGGGTCTATTTTTAAACAGAAAACCAATCTTTGTTTGTCATACATCAAGAGCTTCTTGACTTAAATGAGAAATACCCACACAACAATTTTTTCTGCATTTAAGTCGATCTTCTGGATGAGTGACTTTAATCTTCCTGATCAAGTCAACTGTGTAGAGCCTTTGAGCTTACGCTGAGGCGCTCTACAAGAAGCCACAGGCCAGAGAACAACAGCATTTCATCTTTGGAGTGTGAAAAGACCTTAACAGGGTGTGCTTTTCAGTTATCAAAGAACAATGTTCACAATGATTTGAGAAGAATGTGAGTAGAAAGGGTTTGGTGTAACATATTCCATCCCTTTCCTCAGAATACATAATTGAAACACACCAGATTACGCTTGAGCAACATGACACATGGGCCTTTGATCTCCCACCACATAGATTCATGATTATTTAAAGTGAGGATAGCCATAATAAAACTGTTCAGGTGCATCAGAAATAACATGGAGAAACATGGAGATGAATGTCTGCTGCTGTCATTGGTTGAGTCATCCAGGCTGTACTGCCTGAACAGGTGAAAGCCAAGGCCTCTGCTAGCTCACATTTGGGTAATAAGCACACCACAACGTCCTGCACCAAAACATTTCTGTACCTTTGTACCACCATGTACCATTGTAGCAAATGCTGACTGGCTCAATATGGCGACATGGACGCCTTCACATAATTAAATTTTGACACACTATAAAACGTAACTAAAGATATTATAGTGGTAAATTTAACACAAATTCAACCACTGTTCGAGTTTGAAGTGATGGCTGGCATGTTAAGTAGGCGACAATAATGTGGCCCACTAAACAAGAGCTTTCTCTGCAAGTACATTTGTCAGTCAGGTGGTTCCGAGTCGCTAGCCAACATATGTTAGCAACCAAGTGCTAGCAAGGACAGCACCCTTAGGCATCATCATTGTATTAATTACATAACACAGGAGATTAATACAATCGTATATGTGGATGTAAATATAATATTTGACCAGACGACTGGACTCTGATCAGAAGGTAGAGACAGAGACAGTGGTCCCGCCGCTTGCTCAGCATCATGCAGATGATGAATGAGAAGCTCGGGCTAAGCGCACATAAACAGATGTGCCCAGCCCATACTCACACAACTATCCTCGAAATCATCCACGACACCATCCTGTCGGACCACCGCGGGACCTGGCGCGGTCCTCCTTTACTTAATAATGCTTCCGAGAGACTGTCGAGGCGGGCTATGTGCCCCCCATCCCCCTGCAGGACGCGGGACCGTACTGCTGCTCTATGGAAGGGGCTCAGGTATCTGTGCTGGGGAAGTGCTGCTGCAGTGTGCTCCTCTCTGCTGCTGTTACAGGGCTCTTAAAGAGCCCGCTTGTGCAAAGGCTGTTTTTAACCTCAGAAATAAAACAGACTCCAACCATGTGACTGAAAGACACATGATTTAATGAGCTCATTGCATTATGGATGATTTGGCGAAGGGAACTACAGCCAAGAAACATATAGGCCTACTTGTCTGCACAGGTTGGAAAACTGACAAATATATGTCGCAGGCTTATTCTCTTTAGAACGTAAAATTATATGCATATCTTAAATTGGATATGAATGATTCAAATATCATGCTGAGGTTTATTTATGGGGATTATTTTAATCTGAAGACATTGGGATATTGCTTCAAGTGTTTCATTACAAAAACAGAACTACAAAACAGGTCAGGTGCTTCAGACATATTACATTACATTTTGTGAATAACCACAAGCAAATTAACATTTTTGTAAACTTTATTGTGAAAAATCAAAGAGACCGCTAAGATCAATATATATATTGATACAATGTAAATGGCCAGTAGTTCTGTTCAGCTGAAATTGTGTTTTGAATTGGTTGAAAGTCTGTATATAGTTCAGCCCATGTGAAAATAATGGTTGATTTAAACCATTCCTTAAATGTTTCTCCTGTATATAATTTTGTGATCACTCATGTCAGGCGTATAAAAAGTGAAATAAGAAAACTCAAAATACAAAACTTTGGTCTGAATCCCTTCGTTTCTCATTTTCATTTAGGCCACTGTGGGCAGAAACACTCAGCCACTTAAAACTTAAAAGTCTACAAAAGGGGTTAGCCTTGAACCTACGTAGGCAATAAACTCAGTTAGTCCAGTACGTGCTTTATCCCAGTCTCCTGTGTGGTTGCAATGCTCTCTTACATCCCTTCACATCTTACTTACACAATAACAACAGAACAAACACACTGACCTTAAATACAGAGTTAACAAAAACAAATTAAAAAACAACTAGACAAGTAAGAGCATATATTTTATGTTGATAAAGGAATTCCTTCATCCAAGAGCCAAAAACAAATATGCTCTTTTTTTTCCACCCCAATCTTTATAGCCCCACCCCCTGAAAACCTACATTCTAGTCCTGTAGTCTGTAGCCTGTAAATATGTCACTGTGGTACTGTCAGTATGAGGTGTAGTAAGAGCGGTGCAGAGGTTGGTCGTCCTGGGACAGAGGGCCTAAGGACGAGTTAGTTTAGATTCATGGGCTTTTAATGTCCCCACAGCGTCCTTCACTGCATGATAGATGATGTTCTTCACCTAAAACGAGGATAAAAAACACACTTTTAAGATAATGTTACTTCTAAAAAAGGAAAATTTGAAGTTAGAGTCCTTAAAAAGCTATTGTGTTACATAAACAATAAAAGAAACCCCGTGTTACCAACCTGTAGCTTGTCTTCGTGGTTTGTGTGAGTGGTGGACAGGTGTCTAAACTCCTGTGTCAGTCTGAAACAATGCCTCACATGTTCAGGAGATACAAAGTCCTCCGCCACTTTAATACAACTGTACAAATTGTGGACCTATATTTAGACAAATAGAGTAGTTTAAATAAAAATTGCTGAAAAAATGACGCAAATAGTTACTGAGCTGTGTTACCTGGTGAGGAGCCCCCGCAGGGATAAATACGGCATCTCCTAAGAACTGTACAATGGCCCATCCCTGAACCCCATATTCTTCATAGAGTCTGCGCCGGAGCACTTGATCCAAGTACCAGCTCTGATCATGAATGGGGTCGTGGTCTGGCGGGTTCTCTTGACCTTGCTCATCGCCCACCTGAGGACAAAACAAGAAGTGATGCAGTTCAGTTTTACTTTAAGGACACTTATTTGGGATTGCTCCAAGTCTTATTCTCACAAATAGGAAGACCCCCCCCTCCATGTAGAGAGAACATTTATTGTGTGTTGTGCACCACCATTTGGAGATGCACAACAACCACACAAACAACTGGTGATTCATAGCTAAATTATTAAAGGAAACAGGCGCTTTACTGACAAAAATATACTTTAAACTCCATAAAAATAAAAGTTTGTCAACTGGCAGTAAATAGTGACCTTGCGGAGCAGTTCTCGGATCTTCTCTGCGTCTTTAGCAGCATAGATGTGCCACAGAGCTCCAGGTTTGTCCTTCCCCTCGTACACCCTCCTCTTCGTCATCTCATCCACATCACCTTCTTCAATGGTGGCAATGACCTCTGCAGGGACAGGCATGAGCCAGATACACACATACAGTACCCAATGGGTTATTTTAAAGGTGCAACAAGGATTGCAACCACAAACACACCAGAATTCTGAATTATGGTACAAAATATGATCTCAGTGACCATAAATAACTTGTGTGCTGAAATGGAAATCTTTTTTCTCTGACATTTTTTCCACCTGTTTAGTTCTGAACTGGTTGCTCAAGACCAATCTAGAGTCTAAGCTGTTATTTTAAGTTAGAGCTTTAGTCACACACTTGTTACATGACAAAACACAAGCTACTGATTCCACACATTTAATAAATGAGTTGTTTCTTACAACTAAACCGTGGCTCTTTGAGATGGACCAGTTCAGAACAACTTTGGCCATAAAAAGCTGCAAGTCACACACTACACAATCACATTGGACAACATCCACATCATGATCTTTAAAGCCAGCTACACAGAAATCATTACTACATCTGGGCACAGTCGGGGAGCCTTCAATAACCGATCTGTATTAGACCTTTTACTGAAAGGCATCAAAGACCACTGTGCTGTGTGAAAGTGGATTTAATGGGTTAACATTTATAGTCTTTGCACACAATATCAATGTGAAAATTTTAATTTGATGCATGTCTACATCACATAGTCCGGTCAGTCATCGTAACAGTCGTCGTCACTGCCATCACATCATCATTACTGAGAGAAGCCCCCATAAGAGGCCATTTAGAGATGCCCTTCATTCAAACTTTTCTCCCACAAATACAAGGGCCAGAGCACAGGTCACCCAATGTTTAAAGTATGACGGTCACATTCAGCCCAATATTTCATGTATGAACATGAAAATCACAACTACACTGGAAAACATGGATTTGCGCCCACCCCCAAGTTTAATAGAAGAATCTAAAAAGGAGTCTTTAAATATTTTCCAGGGGATTAATAAAAGTAGCATTTACACAGTAATATAAAGATAATTGTTCATGCTGGAAGAGAGACACAGATGGGTCCCAGTGCCCTGGCCCCTGATGAGGAGCCTAGCATAAGAATGGGGAGGAGGCGTGAAGAGGGAGTTAGTCGAGAAGGGCATGCTACTGAAGTGATACAATGATTAAAAGTAAAACAGACCTTGGCGTCCAGACAAATCAGCCTCTGTGAATGAGAAATTTTGCCACACTGTAAATGTCGGAGACCCACTGAAGGGTCTCTTTAGGCCAATGATGATTGGAATGGAGAACAATGACAGACAGGTACAAGACGGCAGATCTAATCTACCAGAATCTGTTCTAGCTAGTTAACTTATATATCAATTATGCAGTATCCATGGCACTTTAGAACACAAGTTATACTTTTTTTTAATTAGATTTTCCCAAAACTATTGTTGTGTTGGTTCAAAAGGCAAAAAGACAAAATAAAAATAAACAAACCTTGCTCTGACTCTGTGTCCCCTTGAGGAATGCCCACATATACCATGACATTAACAGCATCAGACACATCCAGATGGAGGTTAGTGGTGCCCACTTTCCGGTCCTCTGTAGATGTCAAGCCTAAAAAAAAAAACGGAACAGAAAATCAGAAAGCAGTAAAAAGCTAAATATGTTTCAGGCAGGTCAGGTCTCACCATAGGCGTTGTACATTTTGGGCCCAAGGTCGGGGCGGACAAAAAAGTTGGGCAGGCGGGCAGCCAAGTTTAGACGACCATCTCTTTTTGTGTATTCAGGTAGGGGAAGGTTTTCCATCAAATCATCAAATCTAAGACAAAACTAATATTTACACCAATATTCACTTACGTCTAGCACAGCTAATCTGACCATTTTATGGGATTCCTACCGTGTTGGCATCATATCTCTGAAGTCCTCTCCTGGAGGCCAATCTTTTAATTTCAGCACCATAGGATTGCCCTCATTATCCTGCAGACGCTCTGCAGTCACAAAACAAAATGCAACTATCCGACCAGGACACATGAAGAGAAACGTAAATGTAAGCTGTGTGCACTCACTGTTGAGGACTTGGAAGCCGTCCCAGAAGTCGCGCACCTTTACGTCCGAGATTATAGCACAGTTTCTACAGTTGACCAGGTCAACATCCTGGTCTCCAAACTCCTCACTGAAGGCTTCTGGTCGCCACAGCTCAGATTTCAGGCGTTTGTGTATTCCAGATACCAACACGGGCTAGACAGAGGAGCAAGTCAGTCCAACAAACCAAAGTAATAAAAAATGCACGTGGTACTTACTTGACCCTGTTTCCAGCATTCTCTGAAGATCTTCCAGTTGTTGCTGTTCCCAGGATCTTGTAAGCACAGTAGGCGGCCATCGCAAAGCCACGTGTGTGAGGTGTGAGGTTCCAAAACACTAAGTCCAATCACTCCGTCCTTGCGGCCCCCTAAAACACTCATCTCCCCCCCTTCTGAGCTCCCGCTGCGCCGCCCTTCGGCCTTCTTCGTCTCTACAACTGAGGCGATAATGTGGTCCAGAAAGTTTGGCAAGCTACTCTTCATTTTATCACTCTGGAACACAAAAAACATGTCTACTAAACACACACAATGTGAACAATAATACCAAATCATAGTATTAATAAAGTGGTACTCACCCCTGCTGAGGTAAAGACAGAGGGGAATGGCACACCACTGTCCCCTGGCCCCTGCTGCAGTTTTCCTGGGCCAGAGTTGAGCAGGTCTCTCAGACTGGAGCCCTCTGGTTTGGACTGTGATGCACTGGAGCCCAACAGCAGACTGTTAAACAGCTTTGGACTGGACGCAGAAGGCTTTGACAGGGCACCAAGTGAGTCCAGACCAAAAGGAGGGCGACTTTCTCGACTCATCATGGAGCGCAGGGAACCAGATTCTGTGATTTTCAACATAAATTCAATTCAGTGAACTTCTTTACACAGCCATACTATCTAAAGTATTTACACTAACCCTTGGAGTCATCCTTAGACTTTTGTGCAGCCAGGTCTGCTAGCCAGTGCAGAGCGGAGCTGTTGCCCTCTGCTGGGCGGGGCTCTTTAGTGGAGGCCTGGGCATGTGGATGAGGTGTGGAGGTGCTACTGCTGGAGCTAGAACTGCTCACAGTCTCTGCAGAGGAGCTCTCTGAGATGCCCGGTTCTGGCTCTAGTTTGGATGATACTTCGACTTCCGCTTTTGGAGCAGTACTGCCACTGTGTACTGCAGACTGCACAAACAAATCCATATAGCCTTATTAATGTTGCACAAAAAAATGAAAGCACACAAAGGAGTAATACCTGTGAAATCCCGTTGGGGGCACAAGGGCGCACTAGAGACTTTGTGTGTCGACTGGTACAAGGACAGTTGGCCTTAATACCCCACTTGCCTCTCGCTGAATGAACCATATCTCCAATGTTGTACAAAGCTAAGGAGGAGAGACGCCATTGATGAAGTTGTTCAGTACCGTGGATTTACAAAACTCTGTGTGTATTACCTGTCCCAGGAATGATCTGTGTGGGCATGAGATTTTGTGGCTCATGTGGCTGGCCTTTGGCACACTTTAACCAAGAAAATACCTCATCTTCTAGGCTTTCCTCTATATCTGTTAATCAATAACTCTAATTTAGCAGCAAATTTTAAATAAATATGGATTAGGGCTATATTATTATCCAAGTATTAGACACCTACCTTCTTGAGGTTTGCTTCTGCGAAGCCGATAGCAGTCCAGACAGACCCCAAAACCGCACTTTCTACAAACCCAGTGGATGTTGAACAAAGTGGTTTCACAAACATCACACATTTCTCGGACTCCTCTCACTGCACGCTTCCATGCCACTTTTTCTGAAAACATTAAATTAAACATGTTAAAACAACCCATTGGACATAAAATGTAAACAAATTACTGATACAGATCCACATTCACAAATACTCACGATGAGGTTCAACCATCATTACTGCCTCCTTCTCAGACATGACTAACTGACAAAACTGGTCTCCAACATTGGCCAAAATGTACTTGGATGTGTCCAGGTCCAGACCCTCCTGGACTGCTGGGCTGGGCAGCCAAAGGCCCATAGCCATCGCGTCACTTTGTTGGGGACTGAGGAAACCCTCAACTCGGAGTATACCTTTACGAGTGAATGCCAATCTGCAAAAACAAAACATTATTGAATATTTTTATTACTTCTTAAATCGTAATTTATTATCACTTACATAATGAGTGAAAGTTTTACCTTCTAAAATGAAAAAAGCGGCAGGCTACATTGGGGTCATCTTCCTCGTCACTGTCTTCGTCCCCATTGCGATATTTTCGGTATCTTTCCAGACGACACTCACGGCATTTGTGCAGATGAGGAGCCACATTGATACAGGAGCCATCCTGAAGGAAGGACTCTCCAGACTGTTTCAAACGACGCACCTTGCTCTGGTCTTTGAGCACTGACTGGCCCACTGACAAAGCAAACATGTTTAAGAATGTGTGCGCATCCACACAGAGTTATATTAATAAAAACACATACGCACCTTTGATAGATTTGTTCCGAGGGCGGCTTTTGGCTGCTGCTTTGCTCTTTTGCTGCACGCTGTCAGCCTCCTGGGGCTGGTCTGGCCCACGGCCCTTCTCTGGTCCCTCCTCATTCTCGCTCAGATCGGACAGGTCACTGTTGTCGCTGGACTCAGAGTCTCGTTTAGACGACTGGCCTCTTTCCTCAAACTTCTGTGGCTGGTCAAAAGACACAGGCTCGTCCGCCATGGCACTGGGACCAGAACTGTCAGGCCCGGTGTCCCCTGACGTGGACGAAGGGAGAGGTGTCTCCTGCGATGACTCCTTAGAGACACTATTGTCACTCTGTGGTCTCTGAGATGGGATTGGTGCTGAAGTGGAGGGCGTGTTGGGTAAAGATGAACTGGCAGGAAACTGGGATGTAATGATGGCTTTAGGGGGTTCAGTCATTGTGAAGAGATTTGGCTTACTGTCTGAAGAAGTCTGAAGGTTAGTACCAGAAAGATCAGCAAAGGCTGTGTGGGAGGATGAGGTTAGAAAAGGGTTTGTGGAGTCATTTGTGCCTTGTAGAAAAAGGTTCTGGTGGTTCTCTGTAACGTTAAAGCCAGTCTGTGACACAGTCCCACCTACGGATCCATTATTGGCATTTCTCTTAGAAGCGGCTTGAGCTGCAGAAGGAGCAACATTTTTGCCCAGAGTGGGAACAGTCGGGAATGCTACAGAAGTGTTGAGCACCCCATTTCCCGCTGAATGGTTCTCAGGCACTTTAGATTGCTCTTGCTTCTTCAGTCCATCGTTCCCTGGTTTGAACAGGGTCAGGGGGTCCTTGTTAAGGCTCTCAGAGATTGCTGTGAAGTAATTGGTGTCCTTGGCTGGACCTGACATTAGACTTGAGGTCGAGCCTGAGTTCATACACTGCATAAACAAATTTTGATCTGGTTGAGTCCCATTTTTTGCAGTCCCAAACCCAAACCCAAAGGGTCTGGATGAGTCCGGTGTAGTTGCGGGAGTGGCTCCATTCAGTTGAGAATTACTCTCTCCAAACACACTTGAAGCTTGTTGTGGGACACGAAAACCCAGAGCCTTCGAATTCTAGGTAAGCAGAAAATAGCATGAATGATTTCTTACATTTTTGTATTTGCCTCCCTAAAATATTTTCAATCCCTCAAATCATTTGACAATGACAGACAAATATAGTTTAAATCATTTAAAATGTACCAAATAAAACACATTTTCCTCAGTAAATTGTGCAAATTGCAAAAGACAAGCTTTGGTCAGTCACAGTTAATTAGTGATTTAACAAAGTTTGGGAAAGCAAAGAAGAGGAAAGATCACCAAGCCCTTTAAAATAGTGGGTGAGGCTTTGGGACTCCAAAAAGTCACAAGTCACAAATGGCTTGGAAATGAACCGTGAATCTTTTCAGGTCTCAACATTTCCTCAGGAGTAGGGCTGCAATCAAAATGGCAAAGACTGCTAAATTCCTCCACAAACAACAAAATATTCTGTTTTATTCTGCACAAAAGCTGCTAACTGAGTAGTCTCTTTCTCTATAAACATGTTCTGAAATATCATTTGTGTCTTGTCTTTTTGTCAATTCTTCTGGATGCATTTAAGATGTAAACCATCAACAAGACCCTCAAACATAAATCACAAACTATATTTCCCTAAATCATGCAGCCGCACTCAAGAGCACACCAACTTTCACATTCAGAAAACAGCAACAGGTCTAATGTTCATATTTGCTGCCATATTAGTTTTAATAAAAACAGACCACGTGTTACTCTAAATAGTTAATCCACCTGTCAGTCTCATATCCATTGGAGACCCAGCCCTACAATAAATTTCTTTGCATTTCTTACCATAGGATAACCATGCAGTCTTGGTTGGCCAGACAAACGAGTTTATTATATACTCAAGAAATGCGTGAAAAGATTGACCATTAACTTCCATGTCTTGTGGACACATGGCTCAGTCACATCTTGATTTCTCAAAACCCTAAAATGATTTTGTAACCTTCTCCTTTATGACGTACAAAACATATGATGAATAAAAGTCAAACTTAGCCTGTAAGTTAGCCTGTAAATAACTCAGTAGGTTTCTAACTCTATGGACTCCAACAAAAGTTTTGATAGTTATAACATTTGTGAATTAGTACTTTGTCTTACCTCAGTGGGTGTTCCCCAGGAAGGAGCTTTAGTGTAAGCTGCAGACGCAGAAAGTGCGACACTCTGGCTGCTGTCCTGTGCAGACCAGGAGATGGACACGGGCCCCGGGGAGACCTGTGGAGTTGTTTTAGTGAACGCAGACTGAGTCAGGTCCTCTCTCTCTGGCTGCACTGAGGGTGGCGGCTTAGGAGCCGGAGCTCCAGGGACCAGGCTCGGCATCTGCCCCAGAGAAGGGAAAGAGGTGGTGGAGAAGGGGGAAGGTGCCGGTTTGAGGGGAGGGGGGACTGCAGTGTGAGCTGGGTTTGAAGTGGAGTCTGCCGCACCATGCGATACATGTAGGCGTCCATTTTCTTTAATATGTCCTGGAAATGCGAGATGAGGGGACAATACTTTGGGTACATTTCCATCAATGGAGCCCCCATTTTTAGTAGTGCTGCTGACTCCAGAGTCACTGCCCCACATACCCACTCCCTCCTGGGGGACACTGCTCCGCCCCTCAGCTGCTCCTTTAAAACGCTTGAGATTCAAGTCGTCCTCAGTTTCTGAGGCAGTCCTCCGTCTGCGCCCACTATCACCTTTCATTGTTTCACTGCATTTCCGTCCATTTTTGGCAATCTAACAATAGATAATAACCATCAATATTGATGAAAAATGCTTTTAGATGACTTACAAACTTGATATCATGCTTACCTCATCTCCAACCAACATCACATGAATAACACGAGGATCCACCGTTTGCGGTTCTTTTCCCTACAAAAAGGAACAACTTTGAGCAAACATATACCTCTAATACAAGGAAAACAGGCTGCAGTACACACCTTGTCTAAAGTAATCTCCATAATGTGTGAGACAGGGTCATGTTGTGAAACTAGCCCCAAAGCCCAGCACTCTTCAAATTCAGGCTGGTACACACGAACTCTGCGTCCTTGGATGGTGTATGATCCTGGGACAAGATATTGCAAGATACTCATGTAGGACTCATGAGTAAAAATTTTCCTCACTGACACAGACATTTAACTGTTCATGTGTCAATATCAAATCATAAATGAAAGAGGAATGCTCCATAACAGCACTACCTACCCTTCCTAAAGATCTCTTGTAGTTCAAAATCATTACACCAGCTGGAAATGGCAGCATGAAGTGAAGGGTTCTCCAACAACATGGGGTGTCTAATATCCTTTTCAATCTGCAAGAAAACACATCATTTCAGTGCTTGTAGCCAATAAAGGCCATTTTTAACAATATTTGACAAAACATAAAACTAATTATTTACATACCTCAAACCTCTGAATTGAGTTTTTATCAGGTAGGAAGTCCAAATTGTTATGTGCAAAATACATCACAGGAACAAGTGATCCTAACCCCACTCTGTCCACCAAGGAGCGAAAAGCCTGCACAAACCGAAAATTAAACTATTTATTTGAAACCATTGAAAAACTACCCCTTGGTCAAGTGGTATCAGACTTACAAGAGCTGGCCACACAACAGCTGTGGACCCTGTTGCTCCAGTCCCATTGCGATATGACGCCCAAACAACAGTGTCCTCCAGCAGCACAGCCTTCACCCCTTCACCATACACCTTCACCCATGACCAGCGCTGTGTGGCATTCTCAAACTCAACAAACACCTGCACAACAAAACAAACACTCATGAATAATCACTGATTTCAAAATGTGCTACAGCAGTGCAAGATACAATACCATCACAAAGGCTGTTTACTCTAATAAAGTCTCTTTCTCAAGAGATAAAGGTGAGGTTACCATTTGTTTTGCAGACATTTGTACACAATAACAACACTAAAGTAAATAACTGTGTGTTCACTTTTTTGGTTTTGTTTGTTCAAATACAGCATCACATTACTTTGTCCTTGCTCTTATTTGTCATTTACAAGACCATGTCTTTGGAGTCTAGACATCTTTTTTTAACATAACATTCACCTTTTTCAGCCTTATTTTCTTTTTGAAGTTGCTATGCTGTAAAATCTATTATTATATACATATGGTCTTTTGATTATTTCCTCGGTTAATCCTCAGTTTTGTCAAGACAACAAGGTGTACCACACACTGACACCGAGTTTGGAGAAGCCTCTCCTCAGTGCAAGTTCGTCAGGCCATTCTGCCGCTAGGGACATTACGTTAGCCGATAATGCTAACATCGTTATTCAGAACATCGCTTTGCACAAACAACCGGAGTTTAAGTTTAACTAGTGGTCGGTGGTTGAACACGGATGTGTCCTAATATGGGACTATTGCAATGGTAATAATCTGCTCATTTATTGTGCAGATATATGCGAACAAAGCGGAGGCCAGAGAAACCTCAGTGTCGAGTTTTAAGCCCTGCCTCTTCAACAACAGCCTGTAGCCCACTGTGTAAAAGCTATAACCTCAGGGCGCTTCCAACACTCCTCCATAAGCGCACGGTCAGGTCTGATGCCAGGCGCAGGATCACTGTTGTCTAAGTCTGATCTTGTGTGTGGTGAAAAGTGTTGTGTGCGGGCGAAGTGCGCTTGTAGATGTAAACACTGACCGTGAGTCCTGCAGCGGAGGTTGTTGTCCCCTCTCCGCCGCTCGTCTCCGGTGCACCCAGACCCATGACGCTGACTGCGCGGACCGTGCCCCGCAGCCAGTCCCGCTCCTGTGTCACCAGCTTCGGCTCCGACCCATTCGCGGACCTACCGTCTCCCAGGTGCAAGAGCAGGCGCTTCCCTATCAGTTCAAGAGAGTCCCCCATGGTTTGCTCGTTAGCTAGCTGCCTCACTGAGCCACCATGAGCAGTGTGAACTTCTTAGCACTTGGAAATGGAGAGGATCAGCAAAGAGGACAGACGTTGGTCCGTGTGTTTCAGCGGGCCCAGCACACGTTACTGACGCCCCGTAGGAGCACGCAGCAGCGGACAGAGTCGCGCCTCCAGAGAAAATACTGCTGCTGTTATTGTCCTCGGTGCTAAACGACTACCCAGCTCCGTCCGCCATTGAGCCCTGCAACAATCAAACGCACTCCTCGTAGACAGCAGCACTGCAGAGACAAGAGAGTGCGAGGAAACTGCGACCTCTACTGGTCACTATGAGAATTAGGTTAGTAGTGTCATGCATCCCATCTTACAAGAGTGTTTCGTGAGTAAATATTCTTAATTTCACTCAGACTACACGCGTGCAGATTTTGGAATAATTATTAGTTTTATGTCACTTACATTTAGCTGTTTCATTTCAGGGATGATGGAATTGTTTTAGTAATTTATCGTTTGGGCACTAAAGCTAAAATGGAAATGATGACAGAAGGATCTTATTTTGCTAGGTTTCACTTTAATCAACTGTTGCAAGTTGCAACTAATAATAAAGGATTGCAAATTAATGTCAGTAAAGAAATAATAAGGTGTATGTTTACACTGAATGTGTTTTGTTACGTATAGCAGCATCTGCATGTGTCCAGTACACTGGTAAAACCTGTTGTGTCCAGCAGGTGGCACTAGTGCTACTCTCACCTGAAAGCATAAGCAGCTGCCTCAAGTAAAGGGCCCGTTAATAAAAGTAAACAGTAGGCTGTGTAAACAGGAGGCTTGTGGCACTACACCTCTATCAATACTGCAACAGCGACCTACTCAACCAACACTTTGCTTTTCTATTATCATAAAAAGGTAAGGGAGAAAAAATATCCTTTTTGTTTTATGCTTTGGTGTAGTGTGTATTATTTAAAACAGACTATTCTTTATTTTTTTATAAAACAAACTTCAATCTTTATTGTCAGAAATACAAGAAAGATTTACAATATGTACAAAACCATTTATCAAAACATCAGAAAAAAAACAAATTCAAATTCATTTTTATAAAAACTGTATCTTGTTACAAGAGTAGGCCAGCTCCTTTGCATTACTTTTACATTTCAAGTAAGCCTTTAATGCTTAATTGTGGAAAATGGCATTAATAAATTGGGATGCAAGGTTATTTTGAAGGCAGTGCATGTGCCAAGCATGTAGGCTATAGGTTACGTCCTGTATGTGAGTGAATGCCCCAGTGCTTGTACAGCTATGCAGTATGTGCAAGGACCTTTGTATAGAGACCAGTGTGAATGTGCTGTAGCATTAGGCCTTGGCTATTAAAAAAAAAAAAAAGCTGAAATACTTGTACTTCAAAATTTTAAAATTGTCTTTTACAGAAACCCAAAGGTGTGTCATTCAGGCCTGCCTGCTGTGCCAGTGGGGAAAATGGTAAGTAAAACAATTACTAAATGTAGGGACAAGTGTGACTGGACAGACTACAGACTATCCAGGTTCTGTGGGAGTCATATAGGTCATTATACTCAAATCAACTCAACCTTCGTATTTACTAAATTTCTGCTGCAGTTTGACTGGAGTTGAATTTTGAATGTCAAAATTGCTTATAACCCCTTTTGTTTTACTGAGCATTGGTGGCATTAGACACACTTAGCATGTCTTTAGCTACAGTTATTGTCCCAGTGTTGGACACTGGCAGCATATGGGCTCATAGTGATTAAGGGCGCTTTAGACAGCTGTGCGGTACACATTCAGCTTGCTCCTCCAGCTCTGGACAGGGATCTCCTGCGTTGGCTGGGGGCAGCAAGATGTAGCGAGTGCGGTGACGTATACCCCCTTTGGAGCAGGGTCCCAAACACAAACCCCAAGACGACCACATGGACACTTCACAGTCTAGAGGAGTAGCTATAACAGATAAGACTATATTAAAATACCGTGAAAATACAGTTAAATAAACCAGTGTGTCAGAACTTACCTGAAAACCGCTGAGGAATGATGGAATTTGGCAGAATATGATTGGACATTACACTCTGACGGTTGGGAAGTCTTCTTTGCCGTGTGAGCTTAATGCTTGCAATTGGTGGGAGGTCCTTAAGGCGGGGGTAGTAGAAGGAGTTTGCAGGATGGTTTGGCATTTGTGATGTTATCTACAAGAACACAGAGACAGAAATAATTAGTCATATTCATCTTTGTTGTTACAGCAGTTGCTCATGGAGCAAAGGCGTGGTTGCCATTCTTTGACTTTGGCCTCTCTGACAGTCATCCATCACACTGTTATACCAATGACGGACAAAACCCAGAACTTTTGCAATAGGTTAAAATATAAACTAAACCAAAGATAGATTATTATGTAAGAGAAAGCCTTTTTGGTCTTCAGAGTGGAGACAGGTAAGAATGATATCCCACATTGCATTGACCTAAATAAAGAAGACAATGTGGGCTGTGCATAGTACTGTCTGACTGTGAAATGACTGTAAGTGTTGGGTGAATAGTTAATTCTAAATAATCACTCTTTAGGAGACAATAGTGGACATACTCTGGTGATGTTTTCAGGGGGATTGGTTGGGAAGTTTGGAGAGGAGAAAGTAAAGCCGCTGTCTGTCCCCGCATCATATGGCTGAAGGTCAAAGGTCATCTCTTCTTTCCATTGGCTTCCATCACAGAGGTTCAGGCTGTCCACACCAACGAACCAGTCAGGACTAGGGATCACCTTCACCATCAGGGACAGCTACCAAAGAAAAGGTAAATTCATAAACTGACCTATTAATTAAAAAATACAATAAAGGGCCCATATTAAGCTATTCTCAGATCAGCTATAATGTTGTTTCTACATCAAAAACATAGTTTTGTTTTGTTTCATTCACACATGTTTAACATACAAATCTTGTAGAGAGATCTTCTGTCATTGAAAACACAGCCTTAGAATTCCCACTTGTTAATGAACAAAAAGATAGAAGATAGCTGTTAACTTGAAAATTACAACTACATGAGATCACAAGGTGGAACTGAGCCTTTTGGGCATATAGACGACTAATAATAAAGGATTACTTAAACATGTGTGAATGAAACAGAAAACTACTCCAGGTATGTAACTGATGAGGTAACAACATTATAGCATGGCTTAAATCTCACAAGAGTTCATTTTTGCTCAATCAAGACCTTTAAATACTAAATACAATTTGTATCAACGAAAGAACCCTACTCTGACCCTTGTGACTGGAGTTATTTTTTGTGTAACTGCCTAGGTATGTCATGTGTACACAATGCCATTGGCAGAGATAGAAGCCTGAGAAATATAGGTAAAACAGTATTGTGTTATTCATTTAATATCTGCGTAAAACCATTGTCAGAAACCTCAAATGTTGTAATTTGCCTGAGGCTTGCTAATGCTCAGGTCTATGCACCCACACAGTTTCCAGAAGCAGAACGTGTCTACTGTGTGATGTATGCTTCCTGAAATCTGGTGACCTCATGCAGGAAATGGCCTGGGGGTCAGGGTTCACAGTGATGGCACGGACCCTAAAAACTGCACTGGAAAAGCTACTGCCTCCTGATGTTTGAAGTGAACAGAGTAGTGGATTAGGACCAGGGGGAAGGGTCTATAAAGTCTGGATACGAAGGAAAGGACTTGGACTGACCCAGACCGGCAAAGGAAACGTGAAGGATGAAAGAGTGTTGGAGAAAACTTCTAAAGTAGAGCACATATGATCTCAGGGGACCACAGGGAAGTGCAGACTGGGTCCATTTCAAAAAGGTGACGTAAAGCACTAACATCCCTGTTCCAATCACGTCCCTTTCTTTCTTTATCCAAATAATTTCCCTCAGTTTAGTTATGGTTAATAATAATAATAATAAGAAGAAGAACAAGAACAAGAACAAGAAGCAAAAGAGTTCCTCTTTGTGAATTGGTCTTATATACTACTTTTTTCTGTTTTAAAGAGAGAAGTGTTGCTACCAGTCACAACTACACTGATAGTTTGTCAAGGTGGGTGAAGTGTCTTGCCCAAGGACCTAATGACTACAGTAGGAACAAACCACCAACTTTTGATTTTGTGGACAAATTCTCATTGATACTTGGGTCACTCAGCCTGACATTTTTACCTTCTAATTTATCTGGATGGATCATCTTGCTATCTTGCTGCAAACATGTTGGCAAGTAATTTCCACAGCCATTTAACTGTCCAATCATCACTTTTGTATATCACCATAAATCAAACAGAAAGACCAATGAAATAGATGCTTTCGAGGTACAACGCAAGGACAACCTAATCTCCAGATGCTGTTTTCTTTAGTGCCAAAAATAATGAATACAAAAGACCACTCCAACTGCACCTTCATGAGAACTGCATGAAATTTGTCCTTCTGTTTTTAACTCTACTCGAGCTAACACAGAGGACTCCTGTCTATACAAGATGGGATTGTGGGAGGGATTGTATGTATTTATTTTAGTGAAAATAAAACTGGCATTGGAACATCATACAAGTGCACAAGTAATAACAAATTAAACTGTCAACACGCTTTCATTGCTAAGTCAGTCACGTTCTGCACAAGCCTGGCATTGTATTTTGAGCCTTTTCTGTGGATCTAAAAACAGACGGTATAAATACAGTGACAGGCATCACATACTTTAATGACAAGCACTTAAGCTCCTCACCATGATAGCGATGCCCACAGTCCCAGGGTGTTTATACCCTCAAGTTCAAGTTTGGGTGTTCCAAATGTAGGTTACATGTGACCAAATACTAATTTTGTTTTATTGTCAAGATCAGAATTATTTATATTATGACTGAACAGTATTATTAGCTAATATTTTATAAAACAAACCATACATTTGTTGTCAGTTAGTCAATTTCTCTTTTGTATAAAACCCAGTCCGCCCTAGCCATGACCTTCTTTTAGCCTGGCTGCCCGAATCTGACTTTGCACTTTGTAATCCATTTGGGGACATAAAGTTTGTGTCTTTCTAGAATTTGAGTCCAGGTGGAGATGAAATGATGGAACTTCTAAATCCATTTTGCATCTCACATTTTTAGTGGTTACCAAATAAGTGTTACGTGGAAAGAATCTCTGTACTGCACTTGCCCTATAAAGGAGTAACTTTAGCCAAGAAGAAGGTGATTACAGCAAGTCTTTTAATGTACCTACTGGCGTATGGCTTTTGTTTACTCAAATGCATCTTGACCAGTGCATTACCTCAGCTCTAACCTTTGCTAATATGTTGCAGGGCCCCTAAGAGTTCAGTGAGACAGGCACAGATACAGAGCAGACTGCACAGGAGGGTTGTGGGCGTTTGGAGCTGTGTGGGCCGCTGTTTGATTGGCTTGTAGACAGAAGTGTTGATGTGTTTGTTAAGAGAAGAAGCAGAACAGCAGAAGGAGGCTCTGAAAGATTTCACTCAAAACACTAATTGTGTTTGTTGGCCGTCTGGGCATGTGAATGCTTTGACAAATATTATTTGTGTGAAAGAGTGAGTACCAGTGGAGTCCGAGGCAGTATGAGCAGTTCTGTGGAGCTGTGGCCGATGCCATTGGGGATGCCAGCTGTCCGGTACATGGCGGCCACGGATCGTCTCTTTCTGGCCTCTTTGGCCCCCTTCATGATCTCCACTGTCACCCCAGCTTCAGCAAAGTTCTGCACTCCTTCACTGGCCAGACCTCCCTCCTCCCACAGATGAAAATGCCGATTATGGCTGACCGCTAAAAGAGCAAAGAAACAAAGAGGAGAGCTGAGGCATGTGGATCTCATCTCACTTGTCAGTGCTGGACCACAGAGTGGGGCCAGTGGTGAGGTCATTTCAACAGTCTGTAGGTACATCTGTGGCAGTCTGCATGTTCCACGAAAGTCATCCTGAAGACATTACACTGCATGTCTCTGGCTTTATTGTTTCCACTCAAGTTACATCTTTTTTCATCATTGATAAAACCACAACGTAAATTAAACTGCCAGAAGATGGCCTATGATTTCAAAGTCAGCATTCACAAAGAGGTAAATGAGTAAACAATTGCAAACTTTGGTTTCTTTTGGAGCCAGAAAGCCCTTCTGCTCCACTTTCCCATGTCTTGATATTTAGTTCAGGTTATCAATGAAATCTGCTAAGAATCAAGGCCATAATCCAGGTCAAACTGTTTGTACCGCAGGGTTTGGATGTGAGTAGCGCAGTCCATTGGCCGTGTCTGTGGTTTTCAGGGCACGCAAAGGTTAGCCAGAAACACGATCAAAATGTGTGTGATAGTTCTGCCTTCCCTTAGTCTCCTGAGCTCAGCCACAGCCTTAAACGCTCCTGACACTTGTATTCACACACCTCACACTTCACACACTATCTGCTTTCGTCCCTCTCTGCTTTTACTTACGCTCCTAATTGCCTTTCCATTCTACAAATTTCCCACAAGCATCAAATCCTAAAAACTCTAGAACACGTCACTTCTAAGCCCTCATAAGGAGTTTAAGCTCTGGTTTGTCCTCCCCTTTCGCCCCTCTGAGTCTGTCATTGCTCCACACTATAGGCCATTAGAGGCCCTGGGAGCCACTAGCAAGCTAGACTTCATTAAAACTCTGATCTCATCCAAGCCCAAAGTAGTTCCCTCCAGTCTTCCACCTGCTTACTATCATCCCAATAAGGCATATTTTCCTTTTCTTGCGACAAATCCCATTTCTGGTGCAGTGTCTGGCTCTCAAGGGCATTTAAGGCATTAGCGCAGCATCAGGATCTCTCGTGCCTGTCTGAAATAAGTAGTAAGTAGACCATCATCCTTTGGCTGGGCACCATTTGCCCTGGAAAACTAGACTAATACAAACAAATATGCACACTTACAAGCATCTGCCATCTCACCCTTCATACCGTGTGGTTCTGGCCGCCTTACTGTTCTCTTGGTTTTAGAGTGGTCTGAATCCACCACACCCAGACTCTCATCACCCACTGAACTGCAGCCCCCTCAGTGTTGTCTGCGCTGCTATACGCCAACACTGTGGTAAACCAGTGGACACGTGGGCCGGTCTGTCTCATTCGGAGTAACAGAGAAATCTCAAAGATATGACGGCAAGTAGACACGGCCCATCTGTAAGCATTTAGACTGTCTTTTAGATTGCCGTCTCACTACTGCTGCTTTACTCATCAGTCATTAAGTGTGTTTGAAAAAGAAAACTCTAATAGAAGTCTCACGGGTTTAGACAAAATGTCAGTGAGGGAATGTATCTTTTACTAATTTACATTTTTCAGTACCATTTCCAGAACAGAAGTGTATAATTTGACTCTCTAAATAAACTAACCAAGTGGGTAGTTGTAGTAATAAAGAAAACAGTGTGACTGGTTAATAGCTCAAGTTTTATAAATGGCCCTGGTAGTTGTAGTGGTAGCAGTAGTGGATATGGTAATGGCAGGAAGTTTAGTTACTTCTACTTGAGGAAAAATATACAACCTACTTTCACCTTTAATCAAGTAATATGATTGGATTCAACAACACTTTAACTTGAGTAGTTCATGCTCCTCTGTGTATCATTAGTTTTCAAATGTCAACCCTTACCTACGAGTTTGGACCATTGAGCAGGGGGGCGGAACAGTGGATATTGCTTGGGGAAGGCCTGTGGACTCCAGTGCCCCGTAAAGACCAGGATGTAGGATGCAGGACCCTTGGCTGTGCACTCTGTCCCGTTCAGAGATGGCAGAGGCCCAGCCAAACTCAGAGAGAGCTTCAGCAGCACAACTAACAGCCTCCACATCCAACCACAGCTCAGGTGCCTGTACAGTGACATCATCTGAAAAACATGAAGAATAAAAAATGTTTTCTAACCCATGGGCAAAAGCACAGTCTACTGCTGCCAGGCGCCTGGCAAAACACAAGTATGCACTCTATGAAATATAGCTCCTACTGTTGAACTTTCTACAAAACCATGAAATGTGCATCCATCACTCTCTCAAAGCTGTCTGTGCCCAGATGAGAGAAAATGGAAAGAATATTGGGAAACCCAGACAAAACCCAAATAAGTCTGCAAAAGTGTGAACTTGTGCTTCTCATCAACATATTTCATACAGACCTACAATGAACCACTAACCCAATTTCAAATATACATGAGTTCTAACCTTGCACAGGACGTAAGCAAAGCAAAACACAGTGGTCTTGTGAACCTCAAAAACACATTTTTATCATTTTAAAACATAAAACATTTTGAGTACTGAAACTGTATTCGGCACAAACCGTTTTTAACCACGTGGTGCCTCTCTCCTGATTTTACCATTACACATTGCTAAAAATGTACAGAGTTTTTATGAAGGCGTAGCACCAGGTTTTGCCCTGGTGTCATTTATTATTACTTATATTGTATTTTGTAAGTATATTGTACCAATAGAAGGTAGTATTTTAGTATTAGTCTAAAATATGCATGTTTATATTTGATCCATACACAGCTCCTCTGAACTCTCTAACCTTTTGAGTGTTTCATTATATAAACACTGCTGGTCCCATCCTGGTGTGTTGGTGCAGAGCCAACCTGCAGCACGCATTCATAGCTGCCATAGTAATGTCTGCCGAAGTAGGGCTCTAAAATAAAACGATATGGATGACATGTTTCAAAGAGCTGTCACTCTCCTGCTCTGACCTCACCGACTGACCACTCACACGGCAACCACAACACCGCCTGCTGACTCAGAATCACACTCCATTAAGACAAAGGCACGCGCAAATCGAAAATAGACTTTAATTTCCTTCACTTTTACTAGCATTGTTCAGGCCTGTAAAATGTACTTCAGTTTTATTTCCTGGTGTAAACGTTGCAAAGATTCTGGCAACAGTTTTACAGCTCTTTAGGGAGTTTTTAAAATCTTATCTACTTCCGCAGTGGGTGTATTTAATCGATCCACCCAAAATGTAACTACTTTTTTCCATGGGTGTTAACAATCAGGTTTTCATGGATGTCTAAATATAGTCTTGTCTCTCTGAGTGGAGTCTCCGTGCTCACTTATGTTACTGCGAATTATATCTTAGTTGTACCAGTGAATCTAATCTATGTTATTATCTGAAACCCTGTGATTTGTGAGTAACCACTGTGCCTTGAATCCTGGAATAAGATGACTCAATGTTACAGTCAAGACAGTGTAGTCTTTGTGCCAGTCCCAACCCTTGATAAATGTAGTTTATGGACATTGTTGAAAATGGGAGGGGACCTCCACTGTAAACTTACATATATCATTATAAAAAGATGCTGCCGATTTGTTACTCGATGGAAAGTGCATCCTGAACAAAAGAGATCTTTAGTGTTGCATAGAGGAATTCATACAGATGTTTAATCTTTAAGTCATTGTCCTAATTTACAGGTGTATTATATAACTTTTTCATAATGTAGAAAGTCTGTCACCTGCTTGTTTGCATGGAGATGTTTGTGCTTTAACTGCATTGTTTCAGAATGTTGCATTAAACTTATCTTTTTCTCCTTAAGGACAAGCAAGCGATACCACCAGGAGAAGTTACAGCTCAGATCTGTGGAGAGGCAAGCCCACTCAAAGTGAGAATGCATGTTTTACAAGGTATTTTTAGTAATTAAACAATGAATGAATGCAAGGTAAATCTATTACTATATTGTGGAACATTCCAGACACATTTTTACTGTATTACTACCATTTATATCAGTTATTATATTATACTATATTATATTGTGATGTGTGAGCTACTGTGTACAAATAATTCCCCTTGAGGATCAATAAAGTTTGTCTAAATAAAGTCTAAATGAATAACATCTCCATGGAGGCAAGTAGGTGGCTGAACCCCCACCTGAAATGTTTCATACTGCAGCTTTATTTATTTATTTAGTTTTTATTTATACACCTTCCATTGTCCAAGACCTTTGCACACTGCTGCAAGTAAGGCTCAAAGCAGCTGCAGTGCTACGTAGACAGTTAAATTTGGGCATCTGGACTAACACATTTTCCCAACACACATAACATTCATGTCTTGTACCACATTGTCCTCGTTGCTGTCTATTTCCAGAGGTCAGATTGGATTACCGCTGCCAACATCTCTGCTAAACTCTAGCTCTGACACTTTTCTGACCACATCCCTGAGTCACTGGCTGTTTTATCAATTCCCTAGCCCCATTAAAAGCCTTAATAACCATTGTGTGGGGGTTTAACAGACAACTATAAAAATGCCTCTCTTATGAAGACACTTGGCCCTCAGCTTTGATCCCACTGACTGACCCGTTGACAGGTGGCGCAAACTGGCCAGACACTTCAAGTAAACGTCACTCCTAAATAAGGTGCTTTTGACACAGTTTTCAAGCAGAAAAGGTAGGGTTAACAGGAGTTCAACCTCTGGAGCAGGGAGTTTTCACATTAGTTTGTGATTTTAAGTGCTACTGTCCTGTCTGCACTTGGTTTTATGAGGAAGAAAGGAGGTCAAAATTGTCACAAGCTCCTGCAAAGATGCCTTTTTGACATAAATACAACTGTCTAACTTTAATAAAAGCAGGCATTTCAAAAGTAGGTTAACAACTGCAGGTCTAAATGAGTATTATTGTCCACATAATCGTTTTTGGCTCCCAACTCCTCCATTTGAACTTGTCACACAAGCAGTAAAATCCTCCTAGAAGCATTTCCAGCATTCCCCTATTGACACATTGAACTTTATCAGTCAACACTAGACCTTCTTCCAGCTCTGAAAACCAGGGATAATAACTTTGAAAAAAAAAAGGCTTTAAAACCCCAGAGACCACAAACATAACACAGAATAGGCTAAATTAAACTTTGAGATGGGGAAAAAGGCCAAATGTTGTGCTACCAGGTTACCTTTACAGTGCAATTAGAGCAGACTCATGCCGAGATAATGCACACCAGTATTCATACACACGCAGGGACCCTGAACGCAGCACGACTCAGCCACAGTTTAACAAGCAGATGGCAAGACTAGCACCAATATAAGGAACATTAGTGAGTTTATTGGTCTACACTTTTAAACTAAAGCCTTGCTAACTGCACAGGGAGTACTTTGCATTATCCTTGAATAGGCAAACACAGCATTTCAGTTTAAGGCAGTTATTAGGTACACTTGTGCAAACTTTTCACTATGGAAAAAGATGTTGAATTTTTGTAGTAGTAGTAACAGTTGAAAACAGTTCAATTTTTACAGTAGATTTTCTTAGACTAAAATGCCATTTTCACTACATTTACATGTAATATATTATATGATTTAGTCATATGCAGTATAAATAAATAGTAAAATAGTCCCAAGTCATCTGTACAAATATCTTAAAAAGTTGCAATTGGGGTGTGGAATCTATGTGTCAATAATCTAAGCCAATAAGTGCAATCAAATAAACTGGCATGTCTTCAAAAGCAGAAATAGTAACATAAACCTAGAGACATTGTGCAAAGAATGAATGAATGAAGTCAATGAACGGTCCATATGCCCTACCTCTGTTATTTGGCCACTGACAGTTGCTCCGGTGTTGAGTTTTGAGTCTCTGCCACCTTGATCAGCTCCTCTGCCCTTCTCTCCTCTCTACTCTTTATCTGTCTTCTCAGGATTTTCTCCACCTCCTCGGGTTACCGGCCCACTCTCTCCACCCCTCCTCCCCTCCACCTCTCCACCCCTCTGTCCTTGTATGGAGTCCAGCACTGGCTTCTTTCTCTCCCTCTGTACTGACTGCTGACAAGGTAATCAGCACCACTTTGGCTCACTATCACATTTGCCACTCTTCATTTTGTGTGTTTGTGTAGCTATTGTTTTAGTTAATAAGCTGTAGAGTTGTTAATAGCAGTGAAATTGAAGCAGAGCTGGGGAATAAATGAGCGGAGTGGGAAAAGTTTCAGTTTATTGAAGTTTGCGGCTTATAGCTGCAGACAAAGGAAGAATTTATAATAATTATACACTGTGTATTATTATATATAATCAAGAGTTAAATATTTGGTAAGAAAGTACTTCAGATGTTATTAATACTGTGTATTTGACATATTTTTTTATTTATTATTAAAGGTGCACTGCGCAACTTGTCTGGTGGTCCGCTACCTGCTTGTCTTCATGGAGATGTTCTTGCTTTCCCTGGAATGTTCCATGGTGTGACATTAAATATATCCATCTAGTATTTATTAATTATGGGTGTTTCTATTGCTCAAAAATACAATAATTCCTTCTGTGAATAGAGGTGACTCTCCACAGATTTGAATTGTAATGTAGCGTAGTGCTGTAACCTGCTTGTCTCCTTCGTTATAGATATTTTTAATCTATACTGTGGAACATTCTAGACAAAGCATTCTAGACAAAGCAATAGCATTTCCATGGAGACAAACAGGTGGCTGACCCTCCACTAGAAATGTAATGCAGTGCACCTTTAAATACAGGCAGATAGCTTTTATTTCCTTTTCTAGACTATATTGCCACATCCCTATTTCATATTACGGCAACTACTATGAGGGAATGACATTTAGTCGAAAATACTTGGAAGCTTATGACAGAACCCACTGCCAAAATATTTCAAAATATCCCCAATAATCTCATGAGTTATTGATGAAAAATAACTCTTGAGTATTTCTCAGTAGAAAAAACTCAGAAATGTCAGTAGATTATGTATTTTGTGCCTAAAGAGTGTAAGTAAATCAAGTTACAAACAAGAGCAAATACATGTTAGTAATGTTTTGAGTGAAACATTGGAGACAAATGTGTTCAAAGTGAGTCTTCTTTCACCTCTCCTGTACCAGAGTGTTACCTTTGATTCCCGGCTCTGGAAAATACACCGGTTGCTGCATTTTGGCATAGGACCTTAAGAGGTGTGCACACTTTTCTCATCAGGCTTGACTATGAATAAACTGGAACAAATGAAAACCACATTGAAGATTACCAAAAGCTTTAGTAGTTAAGATAGAGTTTATCCAATTCAACACATTAAAAAAGAAAACAAATCTAACAACATTAACTTCTGTTTATGGTGATTTTCCACCTCAGAGCAATTGTATTTATTTGAATTAGCCCTGTTCTCTGCAATGAAATTTTCCCCTCTCTCTTCAGACTGTGACCACAGTCTCACACCTGGTTCACACATGGACAACCAGGGAGGTTTGAGCTACACTGACATTCACTTATCAACGTGTCAGGAGCCTGGCTGAATCAATATAATTGAGTATCTGGAACTATTTTTTTGTTTCTCACACTGTTGACGCACCAAAACAGGCTCTTAGGTACAAAAGAATAATGGAACACTTTGAATTGACGGGTTAGGTCTCGAGTCAACCCTGTGACCTGGAGAACAGATCTGGAGAGTTAGGTCATAAAAACTGAGTCATGTCTATGAAGAACTCTATGTACAAGAGTGGATCTCCAAACTTTTCACACCAAGTACCATCTAAGATAATATTTAGCTTTCCAAGTACCACCAGGTCTAAACTAATATCAAACCTAAACCAGGTTTAAAATTAGACTAAACCCTGGGTAATTAAGTTCTAAATAATAATTAACCCAAAAAATCACAAGCCCATTTATGGATTTGCCTATAAATTAAAAAAATTATCAAACTGCATCACAAGAGGCAGCCCATGTACCACCAATGACCACAGTTTGAGAAACACTCCACTGACCTACTTTCAAATCAAATCATTTTTGATTTGAACCTACTCCTCAATATCAAAGATTTTCAAATTAACCTAATCACATCTGCTTCCTTCGTGTTGTGGATTTTTCTTTGGTCCAAGTTGAAACAGGGTTACTGGAAAAGCAGGCGCCCCGCTGATTAATGACAATGAGCTCAGTGTCCAGATTGTTAATTACCTCGCGTGCACTTGAAGTAATACATAACATCGCAGAATAATGACAAAGGCTCAAGTTTAATGGGAAACGTATCGTGATAGACCCACAATTTCTTTGATACCTCCTTTTTTGTTTTGACAATGTAACTAGGCCTACAATAATCGGAAGTATAAAGTCTAAATAAAGTCAATCACAGTAGGAAGGCATGTTTTTCAAGGTCATTTTCACAAGATGTATCTGTAATTGAATAAATACAAGATAAGCTCAATAGCATACTGTGGAACATCCCAAGTAAAGTAATAATCTTCCCATGGAGATAAGATGTCCTTCATCAGCAAAGTTCCATAGTTCACTTTTCAGTAGGAGTAAGGATACATGTGCGTTGAAAGAGTAGAAATACTTGTGATAGGTTTGCTTAGGATGAATATATTATAATCTATTTACATATTTTTATGTAAGAGTATTTCCTTCATTGTTCAAAGAGTGGTTAGGTAGGCTACATTTGGGACTGAGTGCATTGGGAACAGGTCGCCCCATCGCTGACGCAAACCTAAGATACAGTTAAACTTTTCTTCTCGCTAAAGCCACGCTAACGTCAGGGACACACACGCCAAATACGTGCGGCTAAGCTAATGACAGCAGGTTGGGCCCCTGCCATAGTATCTGCAGTATCACAACATACACACACTGCATGTACAAGTAACACATGAAGACAGATGGGCTGGCTCTTCACAGGCAATGATAGAGACGCAGCCGCTGAGGAGGAAGCCAACTGGATGAACTTGATTGTTTCTTTCCATGCCTTTATTCACGGTTTAATACTGTCATTTCAACAACATCACGTTACATAATATCTCTTTTATTTTGGAGCAGGTCATTTTTTAAGTCAAACGTCCTGTTGACATATTGAGCTGTAATCAAGAGAATGGGACCAAATCATGACAAGCGTTTAGTCAACTATAGTGTATCATATAACATGGAAGGGGGTAAGATATGAAGACCTACGTTCATCTCTACTGGCAGAATTTTCATCAGTTATCATGGCGACACAATGCACACATTAGCAAACACAAACAAAAAGTTTTAAGATGGTCTGAAAACTCAAGGAAAACACACAAAATTGATTTAGCAACCTTTTCAGGAGCTTGTCATGAATATGAGCATTCATAGTCTTGCTGTGTAGTTTGATTTTTAAGAGAAAGTGAGAGTGACTAACAAAAACTGCTGGCTAATTCTGGCTAGCTTTTGACTGTAATTTTATGTGTGAGTCTTTTTTAAGCTCACAAATCATCTCACTTGTTGTAGTTCCAACCAAGTCAGCTCTTTCTGGCCAGATCATGTTAAACTAAAGCTTAGATTAGGTTTAACTTGAGTAACAGAGTTTCTGACAGAGCAGTGCTTCCAGTTAGCATCACATCTTCAGGGAATGTTGATGACATGAGCTGCTGGTGCACATTCCCAGCTCATTACAGGAGTGGAGCAAATCAAGAAAACACTGACTGTAGTTTTAGGTTTACCCCATAACCTGCTTTGATTTTTATTGGAAGGTAGATACTTTACTCTGTGTGTGAGAGTAGATTATGTAGTGAAAGTTAGGCCAATTATTATTACATAATCATAGTTTAACACCACTCCAGCCAAATGGAAAGGACCCCAGTAATTTCTTAGCTACCGACACAGTGGCACACAATACCATATTTCTATTTTTTGTTTATTTGAAGCAAGAAATTAGCTTTTTTTTTTCTATTTTCAGCCTTTTCTATTTTAAACCTTTTCATACCTATATGCAACCTTGAGAAACAGCAGAGGTTGGCAACATCAGAGCCCTGAGTCCAAATCTGGCCTCCCGTCTGAATTTGAGAAATATTATTACACACAACAGAGATGAAAACACTTGAAACACTTGTCAAAGCAATCCACAAGTTCTAAAAATTTTCAGTTTTAAGAGGTTTTCAAGAGAAAACCTGGTGTGTATAACGGTGCTTGGCCTAGCTGACTGTTGGAAATAGGCCCCCCTTGTTTTGGCCCACCTCTAGACAGACGTGTCTACCACTGAAATACAGCCTTGTAAAAATTATATCAGAGAACGCAGCACTTATAGAAACACACTGAACCTTTAAATGTGATGTGAAAATTATTGATGGCTTTATTGTGTGCCTCAGAGAGAGAGTGGAGTCATCTTTCACCACTGTGAGTGACAACCAAAGACAAATATTTATCCTCTGCTCTCTGAAGGTTGGCAGCAAGCTCAGTGCGAAAGGAGGAGGTCAGCCGTCCAGAGGCTAATTCATCATGTATGCGCATGACACGGTATGCAAAGACATACAAACACACACACACCACGGTACACTGTGGCTAATGTTTTATCTACACATCTCAACATAAGCATACTTACTTATTCTATTTTCATTTATATACAAGAGATACAATTGTGCAATCCTACACGTTTCAGTTTAGAACAGATGTCAACAAATCTAGCATGTTTTATCTGTTATGCTTTTTGTGAGCTTCAATAACAACTAAATCTAGATCGTCTCTAAATAACATGGACATTATAATGCCACAACAAATATTCCTCTCTCTCACTACTAGAGCTGTAGTTTTTTTAGTCTTCAGCCGATTAATTGCTTGATGGTCAACCTAGTTAGTCAATAGTTAATAGTTAACTTATAATTTAATTTAGATTATACAACAGCAGAAAGGGGAAAGCATGGAGTGAGTTGGCTGCATGAGTGACTGGATAGTCTAATGTGCTTCACATTTATGGAGAGGTTCTTTACTAATACATAGTTGTATTAGTCAATTAATCGACGCACAGGGCATGCCTTTAGTTGACTACAGCCCTACACATACGTTTTACACCTTATGCATCCATATACATTTTGTAAACCATGGAGACTGCTTTTTTGTCACACTCAGACAATATACAGATTAGAAAATGAAACTATTTGTGAATTAAAAAATAAAGAATTTTGGTCAAAATTAAAGGAATACTAGTTATTATGCACAGTCTACAGAGAATAATATTCTAAACTCATGCTTTCAAACTTAAACACATAGCAATCTTCATTAATTAGCTCTATTTTTACAAGTTTTTTTCAGTGAAGTGATTACTTAAGACCCTCTTGACTAAGTAGGGGAACTTTAATTTTATAGCCCTGACCAGTGTGTTCCCAGACATGATAAAATCAGAGGCCTCTCTATCCCTTCTTCCTTTTCTGGGCAACACAAACAAACAATAAAATGTGTCTTCCCAGCATGGCAGCGGGACTAGTGGCCAGTAAAGGTGGACTCTGACAGCCAGTCTCAAGTGGGAGTCACAAAAGCAATGAAGCAATGAGTGTATTGGAAGTGACCATGAATCCCATATAGAGATTGCATAATGTGGTCTGGTGGAGATCGGCCCCTACACAGGACTGTGAAACTGTGAAAAATCCTTTTATTAAGGCTATGGAAAAAGACAGATGGACTAATATGTAATATGGACTAAGATGGAAAAACAAGAACTTATGACTGATGGTAATAACTACAGCTACAATATGTCTATAGGAGCATCTTTGTAATGTACTTTACATCAAAACTGTACAGTGTTTGTTGCTCTAAAGTAATTTTTAGTTTTCTATGACAGGAACAATAAAATATTTAATCTGTAGTGATACTAAAAACTTGATTAATTTTGTTGGACAACATTTTTTTTCCCCCACAGTTAGTGAATTATTGTTTATCTGGATTTAGAGATGCACCTATCTAGCTTTTTCTATTGATATCAACAGATTAGTCCAGAGGCTGAAAACAGCATTTTATTTCTTTAAAACAAAAGTAAGACTAAACTGATCTAAATGTGTTATGTAGCTGACTATTAAATACATAAAAAGTCAAACATTGAGACTTTCTGGGCCAACTACAGTTAGTAAATTGTCTTATTACATCAGCTGAACCAATATTTAGAAGCCAGCAATTTTTTCAGTGCTGATATCTGGCATTGGTGCATTTTGGATTCATGCAACATTCTCATTGTGTATTTGGACCATTAATGACCAGTTCTTCTAAATTCACAAGAAAACAAACCAAAAATAATATAAAAAATCTATAGACTTATTTGCATTCATAAAAGCACATGCTGACAGCGTTTTTCACACCTCACTAAAACCTCTGCCCAGCTCTGTATACTGTAGGTGTTAAAATGCCTATTAAAATGGTTGAATAATCATCATTCATAGGTGCTGCAGTTTGCGTCCCTCCACCTTTCAAAGCATAGGATCCCAGTTAAGTACATGTGGTTGTAATTTTGTGGCTGATAATCTGTCCCCAGGGACTACAAAAACCCACCCTCCCCAGTGCCCCACCTATCTACCCCACTCATAAAACTGCACCCATCCTAGCCCTGAGTAACACTGAGTGCATAAAATCACACAACAAGGGTAAGCAAAAATCGGTTTATGGTGGAAGGTTTGTATTCTTAATTACTCTTTTGTCCAACTGTTCATGAAGCATTCTGTCTCCAAGCCCCCAGGCATCATGGCAGTCAGAAGTACATTCAGAAAGATGTTTTACAAATAAAAGGTTACCAGAAAAAAAACAAGACTTATTTGCCTATAAACTCATAACAAAGACCAGTTTGAGGCAACTCTGTTAGATAATTTCATTTTTAGTTGCTTCAGGGAGACTATTTTAGAAGAAATATTTGGAATGTCAAGATTAGAAAGCATTAGATTTTTTTCCTCTCCCCCAGTGAAGTTTTTCTTCATTTTATCAGTGTAATGCGTGGCTCCTCGTTGCTTAATCCTTACATAATCCACTTACAATTTTTATGTTAATAAAAAAAGACAAAATAAATTATGTTAAAATTAAGTGTAATTGTTCCAAATTGTAGTAAAGAAAGGGCAGAATACCTGTTTATTTTTTAACATTTTATTAAAATACGGTGTGGAGTTTACCATCGGAAGTTACCATCACAAACATGATTGTTTCTAATAAAAAAGTAAACAAAACAAAATAAAGCTTAAGAGCCTAGTTACAGGAGTTTTTTTTTTTTTTTTGTCATTTTTTGAAATTTTGTTTTTGCAGTCTGGTGAAAGAAAAAAAAATCAATTCACAATGAGAGTGAGTGAAAAAACATGTTCACATGTTGTAAAAATACATTTCCCAATTTTAACATCACGCACGGTTCACATTCAGACGTTCATTCATCCGTTGGTTAGATAGTTAGATGTCAGTGCCAAAAGAAAAGCAAAAAGGGGTCTAGGAGAATTGGGGGGGCAGCTATAGGGGGCGGGGGCCATGGGACCGAGGGCTGGACTGCTGGAGGATATGTGTGCATTTGACCCTGAGAAATAGTGACCGGTTCACACCAAATTTCTTCTGTTATATTTGACAGACCTCACCAGTGTTGCATTGCCGTCCCCCCTCCTCCCCTCTCTCTCTCTCTCCACCAGCAGCTGTGTAAGGAGCTTTAACAGTGGCAGAGTCGTTGGCCGAGGGGGGGATTTTCACACCAGAGTGAAATATGGACTGTGGCTTTGTAACCATTCGTACTGTGCTTTATCTGTGAGCTTGCACATATACACACACTGCCAGGGCAAAACAAATGTATCACTCAACATTTAAATAAGGTCAAATGGTTGGAAACTAAAAAGGTGCACAATATTTAGGGATATTATTTGGGAGGCGATATGATCCTGGCCCGACTTTTTTCCAACTTGTCTTACTGTGGTCAACTGTATTAAGGCAGTGAGTGGTTCCATGGCAACTTTAAAACAGCTACTTTAAGGGAAAGACAAAGTAAGGCCCACGATAGACAATATTGGAAGGGATGAGATTTTTAAAAATATCAAAGGGGAAATGGGGGGTAATCGCGCCGAAATGTGTCAGTACAACATGTAGAACACAGACAAGCATATCAATAAAATAACAATAAAACAAATGGATTCTTTAACAGTGCACTGCTGAACTGAAAAATATAAGTCATCCGCGTCAACAGCAAAAATTTAAGATAACTATTTATGAGCATAATCTTGAACTATGGGGGTACTTTTTAAAAATATATACTCATCACATGACAGAGGACGCAGACATGCTCCGCGCCTCCCATAGACTCTGAGGAGAAAACTGTACATCACTGGAAACTGACCACCACAAAATGGATCAGGGGTAAAACGGGGAAGAGGAAAACAGCAAGATGACGACATGTTTAAGCCAATAGCGTTTTTTTCCTCTAAAGAATTACCTCACATGCACTATAGTTAGAGCAGCTTGACAATGAAAGGGGGCTAAATATAAAAAACAGATCTATAACTACGGTTCTAGTAAAACAAGACTAGCAGATCTTTGCTTTTCTCAATTCAGTAAGATGGAGAGACACCTACTACAGTCAGAAGGGGGTTTTTAAGCGCTGTGCTAAAAAACTTTCCACAATGACAAATAAAAAAGGGTAAAAAGGCAAGAAGATACACATTGGTTTTGAAGCCTGAGTTTTTTCAGTGACCTAGAGTGAACCTAGAAATATTCTGTCAATTCATTTTAATGGGGCGATGGCGATGATGATGCTTTATTTTCTCATGAATCGTTACTGCTACAAGTTCACAACCCTTCTGGTAAAGACTATTATTAAAGAAGTCATCTAGAAAATCTGTACAAAAAATAAAAGGGTATGCACGGTACATTCAATATCTGTTACTGAGGTACTAGAAAGGTGTTCCCTTCACACCAGGGCAACAGCGTTAAAAACAGTTACTCCTAGGGACATCCTTTGGAAAGACAACGGCTCGTCATCCTTGAAAGGGTTTTAAGGGAACAAAAACGTGCACACAGAATTGCACACGCACACACATACACAACCTTTGTCAATGAGAAGCCAGCATGCACAAATGTAGTCCTATCACTCACACGGGGGAAGATGGCGGATGCATGCTGGTGTGGGAGGCTGAGGGGAGGAGTGGAGATGGGGGGTGTGGTGAGATCTTTAAAACATAAAAGGCAATGGTTCGATCCCTGGTCACCGGTTCTGGTCCTGCACTGAAGCCAACCGTCTGAACAACAAAGTCAGACAGTGCCCTCTGCTGGTGAAGACCCAATGATTTCAGCTATACAGAAAATCTGCATTTGGGTGGGCACAATATTCACTCAGTTCTATGCGCCACTGCAATTTGAAAGGGCAAAAACAAAGTGGGCCTTAACAGGGATGACAACCCTAGGAGGTATTAAAAGGTTAAGAGCTTTGTTAGGAAATGAGGATACATACTTAATAATAGTAATCTGTGTCCTTTGAGCTTAAGACAGTGCCAGGGAGCGCCAAAGAAATGGGAGGGCCAAAATGCTGCTTGGTGGTAATGTCGGAAATCGAATCTATAATGACTTTCTGATGAACTTTAGCGCAAATCTCCCTATGAAAAGGGTTTCAAGAAAATAATAAGTATAAAGCAGTAACAGGAGCAGTTATATGTAGAAACAACAGGACCTTTAACCTCAACTGGTCTGAATTAGGACAAATAGAGGTACAAAGCCAAATTCGAAATGCTTTCTCTTTTTCCAAAATAAACAAACATTAACAACTAGAACCACAATAGATTTCCATTAAAACAACAGCCAATAAGAAAATGAACCAGTCCTATCACCGAATCCTTGAGAACAGTTATTGCTGACATTGTGGGGTGGTGGTGGGGTTGTGTTGGGGGTCAGGGGAGGTGGGGGTGACATGGGGGTGAGATGGGCGGTAGAGGACAGGTCACTCCAGGGCTCGAGGTGTGAGATACAGTGTAGTCAGGTCGGACTGGTGCCGTCGATGTGTGGAGGGGAGGGGTTTCCGGAGCAGAGGAATGTGCTGGCGCTGGCGGAGGGGGCTATTGGTCGGAGGGGATGTCTCTGTCGGCTTCGGCCTTGGTGGGTTGTCCCGGAGATGGGGCATGAGGAGGGTGGGTCACAGGGGTGATGCCGTGTGCCATCCCTGAAACCAGGCTGTCCACCCCTGCTCCTGCTCCTGGGAGACCCCCTGCTGCTGCCACATTGATCAGGCCTGGAGGAAATCTAACACACATGCCAAAGAACCATTATTTCTAGCCAATTGAGAGCACACTGTAATGTTGCTTCCTTGTTTTTCTCACCTGTACGATGCTCCATTGAGCTCAGGATGAACCGTGGCGGCCTCCATGCTGGGCCACTGAGAGGCGGCCAGCAGATATTCTTTGTTCACACAGTTCTTTAGACTGTCAGGGATGCGGCCTGCAGCACACAAGGTTCTCATCAGAAAATGTGTAAGTCTAAAAATGACTACCCCAAAGACTTTCCCATTAACAACAAAGACTACAGTTACTGTAATTTTTATTAAAGTATTTGTATTTGTTTCTACTTCATAAACACTAGTATACACACCTCCGAGCCTTCGCCCACACAATGAAAGCTGGACTCACCGGTGATGGCACGTCGGACTTCTCTAGCTGCTTCTTCCCGGGCCTCGACTGAAGCCTGCTCGCTGTACCAGGATGTGTGCGGGGTACAGATTAGATTGGGGGCATCTTTCAGAGGGCCTGTGGAAAAACTGGAATGACAAATGTTATTAGATAAAACTATAGTGGGTTCACACTCAGATTTCTGTGCTGATTGGCACCTGAAGGGTTCCGTCTCATGGACGTCCAGCGCAGCCCCTCGTATCCGGCCTTCTTTCAGCGCCTGAGCCAGCGCCTTCTCATCCACCAGACCCCCTCTCGACGTGTTCACCAGAAAGGCCCCCTGGCGCATCTGTGACAATTCAAACACAGTTTAGCTTTAGCATCATACATGCTAAATAATACTACATGATATGCATTATGAAGAAATATGGAAACATACCTGTTTGATGGTGAAGTCATTAATAAGATGGTGGTTGTGCTCATTTAGGCTGCAGTGCAGAGACACACAGTCTGAGTGTATGAGCAGGTCTTGAAGGGTGGCCATGCGCTGCAGTCCCAGGGAGCGCTCCACACCATCAGGCAGATAGGGGTCATAAAAGATCACACCGAAACCAAATGCCTTGGCGCGAAGAGCCACAGCCTGACCAACTCGCCCTGTGGCACAAAGGTGAGAATGAAGTCAAAGTCTGTACATCACTAAGAGAGTACAACTTTAGTGTACAAAACCTCACCTAAACCGATAATACCAAGAGTCTCTCCCCGGATGCGAGCAGCGCCCCCTGCCACCTCCCGGATCTGCTCCACGCTGGAGGCCCGTGTGCCCTCCCTCAGCGCCTGGTGCATCCATGTGACTCGTCTGTATAAGTTCAGGATCAGACATAACGAAGTATCTGCCGTCTCTTCCACTGATGACGCTGGGACGTTACAAAC